CAGTATGGTTACAGGCACTCCCAGTATGACCCCAGTTGCTCCCAGAATGATCCCACTTGCCCCAGTTGTGGTCCCAGTCCACCCAGCATGGTTTCAGTATCTTCCAGTTGATCCCAGTTGGCTCCCAGTGTGTCTCCTGTTGACTCCAGGCATTGGCCCAGTAGGTCCCAGTAGCCCCCAGTAAGGTTCCAGTCACACACCATGTAATCCCAGTATGATCCCAGTGTGATCCTAGCCACTCTCAGTATGGTTCCAGTCACTTCTAGTATGATCCCAGTCACTCCCACTATAATCCCAGTCACTCCCAGGATGATTCCAGTTGCCCCAACCATGGTCCCAGCTGCTCCCTGTCAACACCAGTATGATCCCAGTCAATTTCAGCTTGAGCCCAGTCACATCCAGTCTCTCCCAGTATGATCTCAGTTGCTCCCAGTACTTCTCAATATGATCCCAGCTGCCCCCAGCATGGTTCCAGTTGCTTCTGTTCCTCCCAGTGTGATCCCACTATGACCCCAGACTTTCCCAGCGTGGTCCAGTCACCCCTAGTTACAGACACTCCCCATATGATCACAGTCACTTCCAGTCTCTCCCAGTACGATCTCAGGATGATCCCAGTGTAGCCCAGTCACTCCCAGGATGATCTCAGGATGATCCCAGTGTAGCCCAGTCACTCCCAGTACGATCTCAGGATGATCCCAGTGTAGCCCAGTCACTGTCAGGATGATCCCAGTGTAGCCCAGTCTCTCCCAGTATGATCTCAGGATGATCCCAGCGTAGCCCAGTCACTCCCAGGATGATCTCAGGATGATCCCAGTGTAGCCCAGTTGCTCCCAGGATGAGCCCAAAGCTCCTGGAACACCTGGAGGACCCACCCAGAGGAGGGTCCCTCCAGGTTCTGCAGCTGCAGAACAGCCCCCAGGAGCCGAGGTCCCCCCAGAGCCCCCCAGACAGGAGAAGGGGGTGACAACTCTCCAGCCCGGGGTCCCGGGAGCACCAGGGGGTCTCCAGCCCGACTTCCCAGCAAGGGGCTCCCACAACCCCTCACGCTGCCCCCAAAATCCCTCGGGATTCCCCATTGTCCATCTCTGCATTCCCCCTCCAAGATCTGCAGGCTCCTGAGATGAACCCAAAGGGCTGGAAGTGCCACAAGCCCTGAATTTTTATCTCCAGCCACCCCTTTTCCCTCTTTTACTGTTCTTTTGCCCTTCCTGGGATCCCCCCAGGGGGTGGGAGCAGCCAAGAGCCCAGTGCCGCCCCATCCCGACCTGCCCCAGCTCCATCCCTGCTCCTCCCGTGGGATGTGATGGGTGTGGGGGGAATGGGGGCCAAGGGTGGGCGCTGGTCCTGGGGGGAGGAGGAGAAGGGATGGAGGAGGAGGAGGGGAAGGAAGAGGACCTTCAGAGTGGGGAGAGCAAAGAGAAGTGATGCTAGAACTGGGGGACCCCTAAACCCTGAAACAGGGGCCTGGAAGAGGGGCTACCCTTGGGACCCCTGAAACACTGAAGTGGGAGCCCAGAAAGGGGGGAGCCCTTGGACCCCCAGCAGTGCAGACAGGGGGGACCCTGGAGAAAGGGGAGCCTGGAGAAGGGGGAGTCTTGAGAGGGGGTACTCCCAGTACATGTGGGACGCCCAGGAGCCTTGGCCAGGGAATCCCCAGAACCCCAAAGTACAGAGACCAGAGAGGGAGGACTACTGGGAGGGCTTTTTGGGCTGAATCTTGGTGGTTTGGAGGTTTTCTTGGCCAGAAGCCACCCAGTAACATCTAGAGATAGACTTGGGCGGGGGAAACCCCCAAGCCAACGCACTCACACCTTGTTTTCCCCCCCAGACCAGCATTTCTTCTTCCCAAACCTTGGCCAGATGGAGGAGGAGGAGGCTGTGAGGAAGAGGAAGATGCCCCAGGACCCCCAGGCAGGTGAGGAGGAAGTCAGTGCCCCTTTGCCCCTGTCTTGTCCTGTATCTCCCAGCTGAGCATCGCCCCCGGCTGCAGGACAACCCCGCTGCCGCCGCCGTCCTGCCGGGGCCGGAGTTGGGGGGATGTCCTTGGCCTTCCCTCTGGGCCGGAGGCAAATCCCCTCCCTGTCCTTCTTCCCTCCTGCCCCAGGCCCCGAGCTGAGGACGGAGAGCCCGGAGGACAAATCCCCCCGGCAGAGCCTGGTGGGAGAGGCTGTTTTGAAGGGCTCCACGGCGCAGGAAGGCAGCGGGGAGGAAAAGCCACGAAGGTACCCCAGGAGGAGGGTCTCCAAAGCCAGCCCAGGGTGCTCTGAGGAGGAAAGACCCAGCCTGTGCCGGGAAGGCGACGAGAGCTTGAGTGAGAGCTCCGACCTGGAGGTCCATGAGCAGCTCCATGCTGGGAAAAGGCCGTTCAAGTGCTTGGAATGTGGGAAGAGGTTTAGCAAGAGATACCACCTGATCCGCCACCAGCGCATCCACACTGGAGAAAGGCCCTACGAGTGCTCAGAGTGTGGGAGCAGCTTCAGCCAGCGCTTCTGCCTGATCCGCCACCAGATCGTTCACACCGGAGAACAACCCTACCAGTGTGGGGAATGTGGGAAAAGCTTCAATGACCGCTCCAACCTCATCACCCACCAGCGCCTGCACTCCAGGAAACGGCCCTACAAGTGCTTGGAATGTGGGAAGAGCTTCTGCCTGAGCTCCGACCTGGTCCGCCACCAGAAGATCCACAGTGGGGAACGGCCCTACAAGTGTCCTGAGTGTGGGAAGAGGTTTAAGACCAGCTCACATCTCCTCCTGCATGAGCGGACGCACACGGATGAGAGGCCCTTCCTCTGCACCGACTGCGGGAAGAGCTTCAACCGCAACTCCCACCTTGTCCTGCACAGGCGCATCCACACTGGAGAGAGGCCCTACAAGTGTGAGGAGTGTGGGAAGAGCTTCATCCAGAGCTCTGCCTTGACCTCACACCAACGGACCCACCAGTAAGCGAAGCCCTGTGAGCACCTCAACTGCGGGAAGAGCTTCGTCTGCTGCTCCAACTCCATCACCCATCGGAGGACCCACAGTGGTTCCACAGTGACCCACACTGGGCACAGATCTGTTGACTCATGTTCCAGATGATCCATGCTGGGCAATGTATTGGGTTTGCCAGGGTTTGGTAGCAGGGGGACTCCAGGGCTGTGTTCTGTGAGCAGCTGCCAGAAACTTCCTCCATGTCCAGCAGAGCCAATTCCAGCTGGCTCCAGGACGGACCCACCACTGGCCAAGGCCGAGCCCATCAGAGATGGCAGTGACGCCTTGGGGAGAATGTATTTGTCTTAGTTTTAGCTGCTCCCCCCAGGGCTGGGAGCTGGGGTGGTTGGTCCCAGGAGAGTTTCCCGCTGAGGGACCAATCGCAGCTGTTCTTTTTTGCTCTTTTGAAATTAAATATTCACAACAGCCGGAAGTCGTTGGCAGTTTTAATTGTGTGTGAGAGCGTGTGTGTGTGAGAGAGAAGCCGGAAGGGTGGACGGGGCCCCCCCATAACCCAGGGGGGTCCCCTGTGCCTCCACGGCCTTGGCTCAGCCAGGGCTGGAGGCAGTGTGTAGGAGTATGTGTGTGTTGTGAGGGAGACTCCCTCTTCCCCCCCAGCTAGACTGCAGGGCTTGGGACAGTGTGAACTGGACTGAGTGGCCAAGGCGAGGGAGCTCTCTTTTTCTTCCCCCCCCCGCCTGGGAAGGCGGTGGTGTGGATTCAAGGCATGCTCGGCATTGGAGCTAGAGGGGTCCAGAGCCTGGAGAAGTGGCTGGGATATATGGAAAAGCTGGAAGAACTCCAGGCTGAAGGAATTGGAGATGGGCCAGAGGGCCTTGGAGGTGCCATACGTTGGGTTTGGACCTGGGCTACTGAAACTGAAAACTGCAGCAGCTAAGGAAGAGTGAGAGAGCCGAACCAGCAGGTTTTTCTGGGTAAGGACTTTTTGATGAAAACTATTTGGGGTAAAAAAGGACTGAGCAGAGACTCAGAGCCTGCAACCTGGAGAGTGAGAAATGGAACATCTTACTCCCTAGGAGGAAACCTTCACGAAACCAAGGAGGAAGGACTCAGAGCTGACTCCCTGGACCTTTTTGTGATGAAGACCTGGTGAAGTGAGTGTTTCCCTGGCAGCCCAGGATGAGACCTCAGCAGGAGCTGAGAGCTGGTGGGGGTGCAAGAGAACCCCTTTCCCTGATACCCCAATGAGAGAGAGACTTTTTCATTATCGCCCTGAAGACGACTTCTGAACTGATGTGGGAGGGCTCAAGGGGAGCTGTGTTAATATTATATATAATTGCTTTTTAGTTTGTATAGTATTTATTGGGTAGTAATAAATTGTATGTAATTCCCTTCCCACATACTGTGTGCCTGTCTGAAAATTTCTCTTCGGTGTTGAGGCAAATTGTGAGGGGAGCTTGAAGATTGGATTTATGTGGAAGTCGATCCCCCACAGTAATGAAGGAGGAAAAAGTCCTTGTGCAGATGGAATTGGGTGCAGAGAAGAGCAGAGTGGGAACAGGGGAGGGGAACAGCTCTGCAGACCCCCAGGGCAGTGCAGAAGGAGGGGCAGGAGGTGCTCCAGGCACCAGGGCTGAGATTCCCCTGCAGC